TTGCTTGTCGTCATGTCCGTTGACCTGTTGCGTGATGAAATGAGCATTGAATATTTTTGCCACATGATCTGAACTTTAACTAAACAATGGCCCTGTGCACACCCATTGTTCCGCTTGCTAGTTTAATTGTTATAATTCTCTCTTTGTTCCTACCGCAGCACACACGTCTCAATCGAAGGCATAATGGCAGGAACAACCATTGTGTCGCTGGCATATATGCCCTCCTGCCGCCTGCGCTCAGCTAGAGTAGGTCCATCCCACCTGCGCTCAGCTCCAGAGTAGCTTCATCCAGCTCTGTGCCTCTCAGCCACAGGGCAGTATGTCTCACCATATGGTCACGTCTTGGTGCGGTATTTCAAATAATTGAGTCTGATCGGTCCTGATCAAATTTACTGAACGATCCAGGGGTGCTACATTACGTCCAGGCCGAAGCACCCTCCTCGTCCCTGAAGGATTCGGTTTGCGTATCACGAACGCCGCTCTGGTAGTCGGAGATTTCATCGTGGATGCAAATTCTGGTAGAACCTCTCTGTGGATGACTCATATCAGGTCGCCGAGCATACCCTCTCCATTGCTTAACTCTCCGGCTATGAATGAACGAGTGATACTGTTCACGTTAATTTCCCAACGGGTATGATATCTATTCACTGATTCTTTGTCGTTGACTTGACTGACTTGACTGCCCTTTCAATGCTTAGGTTGAGCACCTGACACTCGACATCACGTTCGCGGCAAATGAGTACGTTGCTCTTGAAGTCGTGGGGAAGAGGTAAGAGGCTGTCTTTGATCATCAGTGAACCTCTGATGTGAAACTTTGGTAGCTGCATTTGCTTGTCCGGTAACTTCGTCTGTGCGCAAAAGGATGTTTTCCCAGTCAACAAATGTACCCTCATGGAGTCGTTTTCAGCAGCATCATCTGATATCACACTCAATACACTCAATACAATCCACTCATCCACCTTGGCAGACAAACCGTAAGTTTCTCCCTATCGTCACTCAACATGGATCTCTCACGCCAAATTAGTGAAGCGCTATCTACGGGAAACGAGTCTGCTCATTCAACAAGGGCTAAAAAACGTGCCAGAATAGAATCTTTGACAGCCTCAATCAATCCTAATCGTGCGTTGCCTGACAAGACGACCGTAGCCCCGGCTTCCACGACGACCAGTGCTTTCGTCAGCAAAGCGTCTTCACAACGCCCTCGATGGAGCTACATAGGCGCACCGCCAGCGTCCGTGGCTTCGTCAAAGGCTTTGGGAAAGCGTCCTGTATGTATCTCTCTTACCGAGTTCTTCACTGTCTTTCTGACTGAGCCCAAGCGAACGGAGAGTACATCAGAATTCACAGATGGTGTTTCTTCAGATACATCTGCTACGCCGACCCCGATACCTGCTCAATCAGCTTCGGCAGCAGCTCAACAGCCGGCTCTGAAAATGAAGAATTCGAATGCAAAGTCCAGTATTGATGTCGCCCCAGCTGCTCGTCCAGCGAGCGTGGAGAATGTGTCGAATGCTGTTGTCATAAGGGACCACAAGAATGGATCAGGGCAGCTCACTGCTACTCGCGGAGACGTGGTCAGAGTCTGGTATCGACTGCAGTTGGCTGACGAGACGACCATTGACTCGAGGATGGAGGGCGCACCGGTACGTCCTTGATTTTTCGAGTGAGCCCTGACTTAGCTTAAACCCACTCAGCTTAAGATTACGTTAGGCGAGAATGTGATCCTCCCCGGTGAGCTTGAGTGGCTGCGTCCTTAATATACGCATCATTGAGCAAGGAATTCTCAGAGATCGATAAAGGCATCATAGGCATGAAAGTCGAAGGCGAACGCCTAATCATCATTCCGCCTGCTCTAGGGTATGGTTCTCACCAGCACGGTGCCATACCCCCGAATAGCACACTTTTCTTTCGTACGTTGTCATTTCATGAGCTGTTCCTGTTAATACATTGATAACACATTGATAATACTGCAGAATGCAAGCTGTTGGGTATCCAGCAAGCTGACAGCAAACAAGTTTCATGAGCAAAGGCAGCTTTTATTTCCGTCATGTTACATTAGCCAATCGTGTCCATATCATGTCCTTTAACGTCCTTTAACTGCTGCTTCCACTTATGTGCATCACCGGCTTCTTCCTCGCCGCTTGACTTCTAGGCACTCGGTAACTAACTCTTCGTTCGCGTTGGCCTTATTAAACGAGAGTATCTTAAAACAGCACGAACGTGTGATGAGGCTGTCCGCCGCGTCTTCTGCATCTTCTCCGTCTCCTCGTCTCCCTTCCCTCGCTCAGCTCCCCTCACTGCCTCCGTCGGACACTCTTCGCCAGTCTACGATCACCCCTGTGTCCAACGTCCCTCCTCTCGTCCTCCCGGAACCAGCGCATCTCATCTTTCCTTCTGCACCGCCGCGCATTGCTATCCCTATCAGCAGCATCACTTCACCACTGGAGGGTACATCGGATGCGCGAGAACGCGGCGCGAGCGCCTCATCGTCCTACTCTTCGGGTTGGACGCGCACGTCGTTTCTGCTGCAGATGAGCACATCACCTACGGGGTTGGTTTCGGCGTCCTCGGTATCGAAGCTGTCATCGAGATCCCCAACGAGCGCGAATTGGGCGACGACGAGGCCGATGTTGCCCGCGCCCGTGCCTTTGCAGGTTCAGACGCCGAGTTCGTTGCTTGGCTTGAGCAGAAGATGATGT